GTTTGAAAGAACCGCCCCTTTTGCTGGGAGAAGGTCCACTCTGGGTAAAAATTGAACTAGGTATATTATGTTTTTTATGGGAAAAGTTCCACTTTTTCAGAAAAAGAACCCCCCTTTTGAAATTGCTGGCTACGGGGCCTGAAAGACTTGGTCACATGGCTAACTCACTGATGTCAGTTCCAGAAGACCAACTGAAGACCTTTTGATGATGGGTCGATACTAGGTCATGCATTATAGGTTAGAAAGAGGATTTCTACTAGTAGATGCTTTTAGTTTTCCTCATTATTATACTTTCATGAAACAATTAAAACATTTTGAACACTATTATCAGTATTTGTTCACCTTGGTCTTTTGATATACTGTCTTGCACAACCCAAGACACTTTTTAGTATGGGCCTTTTCAAACCAAGTGGCACGTTTTCTGAACTGTTCCAGTTAGAGAAATTGACAGTTAAACAGCCTATGTCATGACAGTCACCGAATGGAACCCTCCAACACACTGAAAGTTAACCACTTAATTCATAAATAAAGTTGAATGGTATACAGGGTATGTGAAAGGGAGTACCCCCCCCCCCCCCATCTCCATAACTGTATCGCTCCATGTGAAAAGGGCCTTATGAATTACATCTTAAAAGAAGTCCTTTTTGTAAATGATGAATATTTGATTTTTACCAAATAAATGGTGAAGAATAATCAACATATTATGGAAATAAAATAACATCAGTTCATTACTGAATTTTAATTTGCTTCATCAAGAGGAAGAATGCAATTATTATTTTCTATGCTTCAGCCAGTACAAAGTTCTTTTAGAATCTTAGCCATTTGGTGATTATTACACCTTTAACCTCCTAAGCTCACGATTTCAAAGATTCCAGTGTGGAACTGGCATTCATGAGCAAGAGTTTCTCAATATGATGACTCATACATTCCCAATATTTCCTGGAGTAAGTTTTAAGCCAGACTGTTCAAGTATACGAGCAATGCATAATTTGCTCTTCTGCTAGTCATCTCTGCTTCTTTTCAGAGAGCCAAAAAAAGTTGAAAAGTAAACCAAAAAGATTCTGAATTCTTGATTTCATAATAATTGCAAACGCTAAGTCTAAAACAACATAGATAGTAATTGCAGCCACCTTGGTATCATCGTCATAATTTAAACTGTCATTTGACAAACATCAATATCATAATTTGTGTTCAATCTTTTCTGCAAAGGTCAATTTAAACATAGGAGATTAAGCAGAGCTATTGGGACTAAAATGCACAAAAGACACCTTCATTTTTAATTTCTGAAGAGATAGGAAAACTTGGATCATACTCTCTTTTATTAAAAAACAAAAACAAAAAGCAGTGATTGATGTAGAAAGTATACTTTGAAGGTTAATACTGACAGACACGCAAGTCCAGAAAACTTCAAGATGGATACAATATGATTAATATAGGAGGGGAAGAATATAAATATAGGAGGGGAAGAAGTAATTACAATTTGAATTAAATATTTTCCTAATCCTATTTAATCATGCACTTTTTTGATGAGGCCTGCATTCTCTAAGTGCTCTTTAATTTTTGTCCTTATTTCTCCTCCCCCCCCCCCCCCCAAAAAAAAAAAAAAAAAAATCTAATTTCTAATTCAAATCCCTACAGAAGCACTAAGAACTTTTTTACCTGGCATGACATTTCCCTCAGAAAGGAACTTTCTCAATCCACTTTTCCTTTAAATTGAGACCACATGAATTCTAAATTATGAAGTAGACCTCAACTCAAGGAGCTTATCACACTTTTTTTCCTGATTGATATATATCATATTTTGGCAATAAATTTTTAAGCAAATGTCAAAACTCATATGACTTGTTTTAATTATATTTATCAATACTATATTCAGAGCCACGGTACTATCTTATTAAGGAATACTCATAGAAACTTCCTGTACTCTTCTATATATTAAAAAAGAATTAAGAAAAGATTATCCTTATTAAAAACACATCAATTTTATCTACAAGCAAAGGACTATAATCGACATTTCAAAAAAAAAAAAAAAAGGCCCACTGCTTTACCATTCTGAACCCCACCCAAACATCAAATTAAAATACGGCAATTACTGCAATCAATTAATCTATATCTTTATATGGCAGTTATTATGGGTATAGCTAAAACACAGAGCGGATATGGTGAGGAACAATAGTCCATTCCAGTAATTCTAGTCAAAGCTATCTGCTGGCTGATAACCAGAATATATCTTGTCTAAATAACCAAACTTCTATCCTAGTGCTAAAACAAGCATACACCATCTAACTTGATCTGGGTGATCTAGATCTTAGGAATCTGGAACTGGGTAGATGGCAGGGCTTGTTCATATTTAATTTACGTATGAGGCAGAGATTAAAACTTCTGAGCTCCTTGTCACACAACAGACAAGATGATGACCACTACAAAAAACATTTAATTTACATATAAAGCAGAGATAAAACTTGTGTGATTTTTAGTGGCCTATTGCAGCATATTTCAAAAACATGTTTACATTATCAAAACTGTGAAAATTGGCAATTAACAACGGTCAGTGCAAAGTACTCAAATATTTTTTTTCATTCACAAACAGGCAACACAATTACCAACTAGAGAAATGGTAATGCACCAATTGTATTGTATCATCATTAATATATCATATTGTACAAGGTCATGACAATCTTTGTACCAGTACAGAAATGAATTGAATTGAAAATATTGTAACATATGGTATGGGCTCAACAACTCTGAAATATATTTTACATATATATATTATAAAGAGCTTTTTTCTTTTTCCATTATTTTTAATTTTTCAAACCATAAATACAACTCCCAATCTAGAGCAAGCCGAAGACATGTTCAAATTCAAGCACAAGACGCACTTTCTGTGCAGTAATCTCCTCTTTCCTGCGCAGTGTAAAGATCTAGTCTTCCCTATGCTGTCTGATCACCCAAAAGAAAATCAATAATTTGCTGTCTTTTCCATCACAAAACAATCCATTATATGGTGGCTAGAGGGCAGATAAAGATTAATGATCATGTTACTGCTATGAAATGTATATGAGAGAGAAACAAGAAATTATGTATATGAGAGAGAGAGAGAGAGAGAGAGAGAGAGAGAGAGACTGACTTAAGGGCTGTAATGGAATGATTACTGGAAAAAATCCTATCATATACTGTACATCAATACACTTTTGCAGAGATAGCTTGTTAAGAAGTAGAATTCATTGTCAGACTTCAGTTAATGAATCACCTGACAGCGGGGAAAAAAAAAAAGATTTGACAGCTATATACCACTTATTCCTTTGGCCTTTGTATCTAACTCCCAGTTTCAAAACGTTAATTCTTGCTTCTACGTTCTTTTTAAATGGGTCTAAAAAGCAACTATTCACTCCAGACAAAGAAGCACAATGCAACGATGGCACGTACCATACTGGCCCTGAAGCTTAATCCATTAACGGCAAAATTAAATATCCCTGGGCCAGGAATCTTAACCACTTAATCGTTGGTCCGCTGGGAGAGGGCAAGCAGATACTACCTCCTCCTTGTCACACCAACGACAAGATGATGACCACTACGAAAACAGATGGTGACATTCTCTCTGGGGCTTATGGTCTTGTTTAACAGGCTGTGCTTTACTATGCTCTAACGAAGTTAAATATTGTGACCTCATGGTATTAAGTGATGAAGGCAGTGCAGTAGCTTTCACATCTAGCCGTATATACTTTTAAAGTGCTGCAGTCTTTAATGGGACACTTTGAAAGGTCACAATATTTAAATATATGTCTTTTTTTTTCTGGTTTTCTTAAGTCTGCTTTCTTCAGTTCGGACAAGTTATTTGGTCATGGAGGGGGGGGGGGGGGGGGAGAGTTCAGTGAGGCTAGAGCTCTTTTGCAATGACCAGTCTATTTAAGTTATCAATTTTTCAAAGTGTACTAGTAGCTTATACAGACCCTGAACCTGAAAAGCAACTGTGACAGGACAACAATGCTATCTAACATGTATATCAAAATCACTGTGACACAAATACAAGCTCTAGAAAGCTAAATAATGCAACTACATTTGTACATTGTTTCCCCTGCAAAAAAAATCTCACCTCCATGTCCAAAAATATGTGTAAAATAAATTGAATGACACATGTTTGGCTATTTGTGGCATAATTTGATTGCTTCCATTATAAATAAATAAATGCACAATAATCAATAATGAAAGCATTCTGTTATGCATCTAAACAATGCCTAATTATGTTCTAATGTCACCATGCAGGGGAGGGGGGGAGGGGGAAGTGAGAACTTATAAGTTAAAACATTGTATCTTTGTATAAATTGCCTTGCAAATCACTAATTATACTAAATATGTCTGCTCTCATTACTATGAAAAGCAAGAGAAATAATTACAATTTACAAGGCAAGTAAATCATAGCAAATGCACATTTCCAGTGAATATTATAACATGATTCACATTTTGATTTTCTACTGCACTGTTAGAAACTACCTCAGGAACATTAATATGGCAGTGTTTTAAAGCATTTCCTTCTTAAAGTTAGTCATCGATAAAATTCAAAATACAAATCATATCTTTACACCCAATATCGTGATCAATATCACAGCCACGACTTCAATTCCAGATGCATCTCCAACTAATCTAGCTCTGGTATCAAACAGTAAAACCGCATTTGATGACCAGCCGACTAAATCAATAAATCGTAAATTGTGTTGGCAGCTAAATGCACTTGCCAGAGCCAGTAATGGCAGTGGCACAAGAGGTAGCAAGAAAACAACCGCCCGGCTTATATCCAGTTTCTGCATGGAATTCTGCATATTTTCGCGCTCTGAAACATACCTTATTCTCCTCTCAAGGAGAAAATATTAGACCGCAAGGGCTTAATGCGTACATATAGTAAATCGACAAAGTAATTAAAGCAAAATACACTTGTTTAAACCAAAAATTTTACAAGAAGAAAAATCGTCCCACCTCTGTTTTCTGCCTCTTACTTCTAACACCAGCTGCTGCTGTTTATTGATTGTGGGCGAGTTCAATTTAAAGGGAAGTTGGGTTTTGTTTACACTTTTGGCGTGGAATGCCTTTTGACTTGACTTTTTCACATAGAAATAAGTACACGCTTCTTACAAAGAAGAAATATCCGACACGAGTAGTATGCACAAATATAGACGGATAAAGTGGTTTTGAAAAAATATGAAAGAAGTAACAAAGTGAAAAACGTGAAAGGAATTAACCACAGAAGTGCTGCCCTCTTTATTTTTAGTGATCAATTTCAGGTGAAGGTCGATTGAAAGCACCGGCTACACGTGAAGGATGGCGGCAAGTGAACTCGGTAAGTACGCTTTCAGAAAAGTGTACAAGATTGATCTCGCATGCAAAAACTTGAGAAGATAACACAAAACCGTAATGATATATCCGTGTAAGTTTTTCGCTGTTTGTGACGTTTCAAAAGTGTTTAGAATTTATTGATTTTGTCTAAGTTTTGTAGGTGTCATTCGGTGCATTTGACTCGACATGCGACTGTGTTGTCGCATTGTTAGCAACTGACAGGTGATGAAAAAACATCGTCCCGTTTACTCTTCACAGTACAAAGAGAATTCCATTCTATCATATTTTAGCCATGGCCTACATGTCTAGCTACATGACCGAGTGTTGAGTTAACATCCACTATGGCATGTTGTTTTGTTTAGTGTGTTAATTTTAGAAAGAGAACGTAGCGGGCGATTTGATTGGCTGGTCACGGGGCTCATTAGTTTTAAGTTCAGTTCATTTATCTCTTGAAAAAAGTTGAAAAATTGAAATAGAACTCCAGCCCTATTGGCTTTGCCAAATTAAAAAAAATCAGTTTTTTGTTTCCATTTTTTATTATTATTTATTTATTTGATTTATTTTGTTATTTAGAAGATATAGTGTTCGAATGAGTGCAAGGAGTTTTAGTTAGATAATTAACATTGGGAAGTCCTTAATACATCTTGAACAAGTTGTTAATTAATATTTTACTGCTAGAAGAATCATCAGGACGACCCTCTGGAGAGCCTACAAGCAATTCAAAATACCACAGGGTAGCTACGAGAATCAGAATAGTCTCTGACGTAATGCTGAAAGAAATCTCCAACTTTATGGCAGTACTTTATGATAGATTTTGTGATGCCTTTTAAAAGTCAATGTATGGTACGTGCGAAACATGTTACATGACATGCCTGTAGATCTATATCGTTTGTCTGCCAGCAAGACGGGTGTTTTTTTATGCATCTGTATTTGTGTAACTTGACTGCATGTATATGTTTTCTTTTTTAACACTTTTTTTTTCTTTTGGAACCTTTTGGATCCATTTTTTTCACCCAAAAATGAACAGTTGTTATCCCTTTAAAAAACATCCCTGACGAGTTCTCAATTTATTTGTCGCAGTTTTGATATTTAATGACATTAACATTTTTATCTTTCAGCTTTGTTAAGTGTTTCTAACAAGCAGGGTCTGGTGCCTTTTGCCAAGGTTCTACATGCCTCTGGGTTGAAGTTAATAGGGTCGGGAGGGACAGCCAAGGCCATCAGGGATGCCGGCATTCCGATACAGTGAGTGGTTTAGTTTACTTAAGATGTTGAAGATACTAAGGAATGTTTTATTGCCCTTTTTGTTCTCACTGTACTGTTTTCCATTGTTCATATCTTAATGCTATAGGTGTGGGATTATTAGTAATTACTGGTTAATTGCTAAAATAATTATAAAATAAAATTGTCTGAAAAAAATTTAAATGTATTTGATTACATTATTTTCCACCATATTCTCTTGTTGATTTTTTTATGAATGACAAAAAGACATACAGAATTATCCAGAGTGGTCCCTGACATCCCATAGTGCATGTATTGATGGCTAGTCTTAAGGTTCAGGATTCTGAAACCTTGCTGATGGAGAACCCCATTGGTTTAGCTCCAAATATATATATATATATTTTTTTTTTGGCAGTGTCACTTTTATTCTTTGCTTTAAGCCAATTGATTTTCAGACCATTGATCTTTTGGACTAATAATTTTTTAGGCCATTTGCCTTTTGCAAAATGTTTACAAAATTTCCATAATTTTATATTGTTTATTTTCAGAGAGGTCAGTGAAGTGACCAAAGCGCCAGAGATGTTAGAAGGGAGAGTAAAGACACTTCATCCTGCTGTTCATGGAGGTATGGACAGTGTTCTTGCCACGGGCAGGTGTCACAAAAACTTTATTCCATGAAAATTGGCAGATAAATTAGTGCAATGCAGTTCATGATAAATCCATAATAGTGCTTGTACACATAAAAAAATAAATGTTAATTCAAAAATTTAGCCATGTCTTTCTTGTAATAAAAAAGATGCAGTATTCAATTCATTTGAACTACTTCTGATCAGTTTATCTTGGGTGAATGTAGACAAAAATTTGATTGAAAAGCTCAGACCAAGTTTTAGGCTTAAATTCTTTTGTGATGTTTCATAAAATAGGTTTTGTGTGTGTCATTTTTTATTGTCAGTTCCTCTCTTTTTTATCTCTGTCTGTTATTGGAAAACATTTATTTACTTAGTAAATTTTCCCTGAATATAGAATATTTTAATGGGCGTTTATAAATCTATTGTTCAATCATTGATCAAAAGCATTTTGTGTTTTGCCAGGTATTCTAGCCCGGCTTACAGATGGAGACCTGTATGACATAGGCAAACAAGGGATTTCCCTGATAAGGTAAAGTTAAGAATCTATCTTAACTTAAGATTACTGAAAAAAATAGCATGGTTTACGCCTTTGAAATTCATATGTGCCTTTGTGGTATTTGATGCACAAAGAGTGCTTACTGATAGTTGACATTTTACACATTGGAATACTATTGGAAAAATAGTTAAACATAATTAAGTTTAATGTAATTAAGAAGAATTAATCTTTACTCTGTATTCTTCTTATTATTATTTTAGGGTTGTTGTTTGTAATCTGTATCCATTTGTTAAAACTGTATCCGCTGAGAATGTGGCTGTGAGTGACGCCATTGAAGATATCGATATAGGTAACTAGTAATGGGCAGCATATCTCATCATTTTAAAGCAAAAACATATAGCTTTAAACAACAGAACCTTAAGGTCTATTATGTTATTATCTCAGTAAGTTTAGTTCAAAATGTTTTGGCATAACTTCAGTTATTTGAATGATCTCAGTGATTGACTTTAATAATTTTTTATGTAACATTTTGCCTAGAATAACAGCACACATAAGATACTTTATATTTAAATGAAGTTTTTATTTCAAGTGAATTCACCAATTTAGTCTTCTGTTTAAAATTCATTTGTGTAGTATTATTCCAATTACAAAATGGAGATGATTTCACATTTATTTATTTATTTATTTATTTATTTATTTGTAATGGAACCTTGTGCTGACATCTATAATTGTGCTCCAGGTGGCGTTACTTTGTTACGAGCGGCTGCGAAGAACCATGAGCGTGTGACAGTTGTCTGCGATCCTCAGGATTACGACAGTGTTGGAGAAGAGATCTCCTCGTCCTATGATAAAGATACAAAGATAGAAACCAGGAAAGCTCTGGCAGTGAAGGTGATCTTGCTGGATTTATACCTGGCTCTGGTTTAAACAAACTGCTTGATTTTTGCCTGATTGGTAAAAAAAAAAAAAAATCAAAAATTTATGTAACATTGATGATTTCTTGTGAGGATTAAAATAAAAAGGGGATGCCAAAATGTAACTAGATGTAGGACTCTTTTAAAGTACATTGCATATTTGTGTGTATTTTTTATAAAATCAAATAAGGTATGATTTGTAGAATAATGAAATTTCATATTGTCATATCTTGGGACAAAAAATAACAAAAATCCAACATGTATAGGTTTGCTTGATATATTTCAAGTATGATTTCTTTTCCTGCTAGGCTTTTAATCACACAGCGGAGTATGATGCAGCCATATCAGACTACTTTAGGCGGCAGTTCAGTGAAGGTGTGTCGCACCTACCTCTACGCTATGGGATGAACCCCCACCAGAAACCAGCACAACTGTACACAACCATGCCCAAACTGCCCATGAAAGGTAGGTAAAATACAGACAGGTGGAACATGGTTATAAACATTTGGTGACATAGATTTCTGGATATCTCTACATTGCCAATTTATCTAAGGCAAATAAAAGCACAGTGATCATTAAAAAAACTGAAAACACACATATTTTAAAGATATTTTATTCATGACTTTGTTCATGTTTAAAAAGTTATTGCATTATATAAGTGAAATCGTGGATTTTTTATTTTTTGTTTTTTCCTTTAAATTACTATACTTCAGTTGTCCCATCTAATGTTTGTAGAATTTCTAGTTTTTTCATTTCTTGAGACCAAAATTAGCATACAGTATCTCAACCATCATTTATTCTCTTCCTGCTAGGCTTCAGTTGTCAAACTTTAGTTTTATATCTTTTATCATTCTTATCTATTAACTTTTGTAAATTTTTCTACACATTTTATGGATTTTAGACTAAAAATAACATTTAATGTATTATTATAACTGGACTGCATGTTCTCACATGATAATGATGAAATTTATTCAAGTCAACTTAAAGTTAAGTCTGGTTAAATAAGGTGGAATTAAAACAGAATTTTTCCTATTCTCCATTATACTAGCCAAGACAGGTTTCTAAGAAGAGTTGTGTTAAACTTTATTCAATTTTTTATACATTGCATCTCTTTGTTCATGAATGAGCAAGAGATGTAAAAGAAGGTTTTAATTAAGAATATTTTTGGTGATATAATAGGTATATGAACTCTTTTCAGTGGTGTGTGGTTCCCCAGGTTTCATCAACCTGTGTGATGCCTTGAATGCATGGCAGCTGGTGAAAGAGTTGAAAGAAGTCCTTGATCTTCCTGCTGCAACTTCCTTCAAACATGTCAGCCCAGCAGGTAGGGAAATGGTTTTGGTTGTAAAGTATTATTTCAAAATGATGAGAATGAACATAAGGTATGTGTTTATAGTTTTATTTGTCAGTGAGGTTAATACTGGCAAAACTTGTACAAATATTCATATACATATATACATATATTCTAGATCCAATGGGCTCACAATGAAACTATCATTCTATGTAGATAAGTCAAACTCTGCTGGGGACTCTTGTTGAATTCAATCAGATTAACTCTTGTTTCCAACATACTCATGCAATCATTGATATAATATTTGATATCTTCTTTTCTCTCTGTGTTGAATAAATCTGTATATATCTTCAGGAGCTGCTGTAGGTGTCCCACTGTCGGCAGAAGAAGCCAAGGTGTGCATGGTGGATGACATAAAGGACGACCTCACCCCTCTTGCCACGGCGTATGCACGTGCGCGAGGTGCAGATCGCATGTCCTCATTTGGTGACTTTGTGGCGCTGTCTGATGTGTGCGACGTGCCAACGGCTAAGATTCTGTCCAGAGAGGTGATACTGGTTTCTGAGAGTTTTCTATACTGGCATAATTATAGCATTTGGGTACATCTGAAGTAAGAATCTTAATGCAGAATTAACTAAATTCAAATGTTGGTAGTGAAACAAAAATGACTTTTTACCCCCAGTTTGTGGAACAATCAGCTCTTTGTAAAATTTTCAGTTTTTTTACACTGATGATATGTCAAGTATTTCTTGGTAATTATATAAATATAAAATCAACATTGTGATGTAAACTTGCCTCCACCAGGTGTCTGATGGCATCATAGCCCCTGGATATGAAGAGGAAGCCCTGAAAATACTCAGAAAAAAGAAAGGTGGAAAATACTGTATTCTTGAGGTTTGTATCTACCTGTAATAAAAAATGTCTTAATAATATATAGATAAATGCAGCCAGCATACAGTATGGTGCTATACTCTAAAATTATAAATGAAATGATACATTTAAGAGAATTCAAAAGCATGTTTTCTTTTGGGAGTTTTTAAAGTTCTGTTAACTTTGTCAATATTAGTTTTTTTTATATTGCCATAGGATTTATATATTCTTATATTTGTAGAACTTGAATAATAAGAGATTTATGTTACAATAAAGGATGGGTGCTTAATAAAAAAGAGAAATAAAAGAAGTGAAAAAGTTGGATAGTTGTTTGGTCTTGTCTTGCAGATGGATGCTACCTATGAACCCACAGACATGGAGACGAGAACGCTTTATGGTTTAAAATTGGAGCAGAAGAGAAATGATGCCTTTATAGACCAGAAATTATTTAGTAACATAGTTAGCAGTAAAAAAGAGGTATGTTCCATTGTTTCACAATGATAGTTCAAACATTCAATTTGAAAACTATAATCTTTGAAGCTGGTTTCATCAGTAAAGAACCAGTTTTAATTTTCATTTAAAGGTGAAACCAGACATAAAGTAATAGTTTTTGTTTTTTTGTTTTACTATATTGCATTTAAATAAAAGAGTTTAATTTTCGGAACAAAATTCTCTGTTATATGGAATTTTCTTTCTTTCTTTTTTTTTTTTTTTTTTACAAAAAGAAGGTCACCGCAATTATTAGATTAATAAAGTGCTGTCAGGATTTTGTTTGCATGCATGCATGTAAAAGTTATTGTGTTCATCATGTTATTTTTTTCCATACTGAAAGTTTCAATAATTTACATTTTATATAAAAACATGCCATCTGAAACATTTACACACAATTGCATGTTCAGTTGATTAAAATTATTTTGAGCTTTTAGGACTAATTTAAAAGAAATTATTATCATTATTAGCTCCCAGAAGACGGACTACGAGACCTGATAGTTGCCACGATAGCCTTGAAATATGCCCAGTCCAACTCTGTCTGTTATGCTAAGAATGGCCAAGTTGTAGGGATAGGAGCAGGCCAGCAGTCCAGAATACACTGTACAAGACTGGCGGGGGACAAAACTAACAACTGGTGGGTACGAGAGTGTGTAGATCTGTTCTGGACAAGAAAACTACTGTAAATACAAAACTATAATTGATAAAAAGGCTTTCACAAGTCTTAGAAACTAAAGTAAACTTTGTTAAAATTTCACAAGCAAGTTACCTGTATGTTGATATTTGTGTACAATAATATAAAATTATAAAGTCTCAAGCATTTTCAGTCATTAGACAATGAAGATTGCACACACACACACACACACACACACACACACACACACAAACAAATGTTAAAGTATGTAAAACCTACAACTATATCAAAATCAATGGAAAGAATAAACTGAGATCCTTAAGATTTTTTATCTTTCTTTTAGGTGGTTAAGACATCATCCTCGGATTCTTGGCATGCAGTTTAAGAAGGGAGTTAAAAGAGCAGAGATGTCCAACCTCATAGATATCTATGTGAATGGAACTGTGGGGCAAGTAAGTGACCTGGATTTGAGAATAAATTGTAATCTTTCTGAAATAGTGAGAATAAAATTATTTTAAATTTTGTAGTGACTTTAATGTTTAGTATTTGTTTTGAATGTTTTAAGGAATTGCAAAGAATTCAAGAGGATCCGATTTGTGATCTGTTATTGAATAAATACATAGTTTTTTACATCAAGAGAAGCAAGAAGTGGTCAAATGGCAGCTAGTCATGTTTTGATGTCTTCTTGCTCTTGACATTTAACCAGAGAAAGTAAGCAGACAGATGTATGTTTTTCCAGCTCCGCACAACCTTTAATTTAAGTTTGTTCTTGTCAAAAGAAAAGTTTAATGCTTTTAGTATTTTTGTCACTTCTCCATCATTTTGTTTCCATTTCTCGTCAGGATATGGACACAATGTCTTGGGAGAGCAACTTTGAGAACCCACCAGAACGTCTGACAGAGGAGGACAGAAAGGAATGGCTGGGGCAACTGAAAGGTGTAGCTCTCAGCTCAGATGCATTCTTTCCATTCCGTGACAATATTGACAGAGCATACCAGGTACGAAGACATTGATAGCATTTACAGCAAGTTAATCCAATGACCACTTAGCTTACTAAAAAATATTTTTGTATATATTATCTAGGCCATCAGTGTCACTTATAAGTCTTTGGATTATCAGCCCAGTTTATACACTAATGAAACTGTAAAGGTTTTATATGATATTTAAACTTCTTGTATTTGCATTTCAGAGTGGTGTGCAGTATGTAGCATCTCCATCAGGGTCCACGAATGACAACATTGTAATAGAAGCCTGCAATGATCACAGTATCACCCTGGTCCACACAGATGTCAGGCTGTTCCATCACTAGGTGGCAGCACAGCTATACATGTAGTTGTCAGGATCGACTGTAGATGGCAGTATTGTTGTAATTGTTTAGATCTACTGCAAATGACAGCACTGTTGCAAATGTAACAAATTACTGTAAAAGGCAGCACAGTTGTTAGAAATTACTTCAGAAAGCAGCAGTGAGGTATTATTTTTTCAAAAGTTAAATAGTGCATGCGTCTGCCAGTAGATGTCAAAAAAGAATCTCCAACACAGGACAAGACAACCAGAGATTATATATGTATTTATCAGATTTAAGCAGCATACATTTTTACAATATAGATGCCACTTTATAAGAATATCCCTCAAAGAGCGACCAAACCTAAGTCCATTTCAGTGCAGTGAAGGTAGTACTTTGCACTCTAATTATTGAGACAATTCCTTGACTATAAATCAAAGGAATACTTCTGAGATCAGATCATGCAGCTTTATTAATGCTTTATACTAGAATCTTATACTATTATCTAAAGTTGAATTGAAGTATAATCTTTATATTACCAAAGACTGATTTCTAGATATTATATAGTATTTGAATAGGGCAGGGGGATGGGCAAGGAGCCTTTTTATTTCATTCTAAGAAATGAAATATGTTATATATAATTCTTATTACCCTTAATCATCTAGACCGATCCTAAGGATCGAGCACACATTGAGTTTCAGTGATCACATACTTGTCCCTTGTGGCCGCAAGACGGCACAAGCTACCCAGTTTTTTAAGTAGTTTGTGCCAAAAATTTATTATCCGGTGAACCATTCAAACAGCCAGTCTAACTTGGAATCTGCTGGCCCAAAATAGAAAGAGTGACCAGTAACTGAACAAATTTTCAAACATTTTATACTCCAGGCTTCAATTTTATCGGTAGATGCCATGGGAACAGTGTTAATACCAAAGACGGTTTTTAAGACAATTATATCTTTTTACAGAGGAATGTCCATTGTTGATTGATAAATTGTTGACCTACGTGTTAATTATACTTAAACTTTATCTTGACCTGTAATGTGATTACAGAAGACATCAGAGAACTTTTGTATTGTTTTTTATACAGTGTAGAAGAAAAGACAGAAATTTAGTGAAAACATTGTTGAAAATGTGTAGAAAACATTTTAAGGTATAAAGTGATAGACCATAAGATATTAGGTTAAGCTTAATGAGAAGAAAGATGTAATTGGTTTTTGTAATGCAGTTGATTTCTTCCCTATCATGTTGAATATTAGAATTTTTGTGTCTGATGAAAGTGAAATAAATCTTTAATATTATTGGAAATGTTTATGCTTCAGTAACTACTTAAAAGTCTTAATAAATTAACAAACAAGTTTGAACTAAAGGCATACCCCTTTGAACAACTAGCACAAAACATGAACTGCAGTTTGTTAGGGATGAGATTTTTATGTCTGTTAGCAGATTTCCAACTTTTTGGGTGATGTTGATGCTTAAATTAGTAATGAGTTTTTCCAATATAGGCAGCTTTCTGACTTTATGAGAGCTAAAAAGTCTCATCCCTGAGTTGGTATGTTTAAAGTGTGAACTGTGGACAGTAATTTGAAAATGTAATTTGTATTTCTGAGCACTTGGATGAGTTTGACCAGTCAAAGGCTCAGTCAAACTTAAGACCTCTTCATAGCCTGGCTATTTTTTAGTCTCACCTAAACAGAACCTCTGCACATGACGTGACCAGTTCAACGCATAAATTTTGCTCGCCGCAAACAGTTGAAAGCAAATTTGCCAAAGTGAGCAAAACTTATTGTTGCAGTAGCGTATAATTACATGTTAAGGCCAATCGAAAGGTTTCAAGTTAAACCAGTATATGTTATTAAGCCATGTGATAAGGGACCACATACCTAACAAAGCGTTTCAGATTTTATGAAGTCAAAAATCCATTGGCTGTGCATGCATTCTTGAAACAAAATAAGCCACAATTAGAAGAAAACTATAATTATTTTTAAATTTTAAAATTAAAAAAAAGGGAAATTCCGGCTGCTCTCGGGCTCAGTTTGGGATGAATAAGGGCTGAAAAAACTTGGCAAAACTAGATTTGGACACTGTAAACAAAATGTGTTTATTTCTAGTTTGTCCGTGGCACACACGTTCTTGGATCTTGATATTAAAAAGTCATTGATCTGTGATCAATCTTGTTTTTATCAAGTAAAAATTTAAAAAAATATGCTTTCAACAAGGCATTTTATTGCATTTAAGTCTTTCTTTATAGTATTATAGCATAAAACATTATAATAGATATAACACTCATGACACAAAGTAATGTACACAAATTAAATCTGCCTAAAAATAAGTTTCATTTGTACAAGCAAGAGTGTCAAGATATTCACTTAAATAACGAAAATTGTGCTACTGACTAAAAGCAAACAATGTCCAAATAAACTTCCTCAATAACCTAACTAGGACAAGAAAAATTAATAGCAAAAGCTATTTGATAATGGCTTTAATAGCTACTACAGAACTACAAACATTAAAGTAATTAAACACCATTACACATAACTTCATTCTTGTTGTAAATTCCAAAAAAAAGAAAAAAAGGTTCTGAAAACTCAAGAGATTAACAATGTTTTAACTACGATGATTGTGTCTAGAGTTCGGTTAACTATAACTTTACCTGGTTAAATGGTGAGCATCATGATTTTTTCTGAATCACTTTGATACTTGGACGGGACATATGATATTAATGACATTATGAAATGTAATCAGGGACTTAATAAAAATAATGCTTTAAATTGGCCCCATAGTGTACAGAGTTACTGTATCTTCCCCAACCTTGCAAGCTGAAATGGTTATTCGAAATACAAACATAATAAAAATAACAAAATAAATAATCAACAAAAAGACCATCATAAGATTATAACAAAAAATATTATAACAAAAAGAAAAAAAAATTAGAAAAAAAAAAAAAAAAAACAATGACTAACTTTAAATGTAGGAATAATGTATTAAACATTGGTTAGTATGGGAAAATCTGTTTCCCCCAGTAAAATTCACTTTTTGGCCAAAACAAACAGTTGTTAACCTTTCAAGTGGAAGTAGATTTTTCGTTGTATCTTATTTAACAAGGCTAAAAAATCATTTCTAAAGAGATTGCACAGGCTTTCTACCTATCAGTAACTTCAACTGGCTCTCAATCAGCCTGCAACCTTTTTTTTTTTTTTTTGTCCTTGAAGGATCATGGGTAAAGCAGGAATGTGGAAGAGGCAATCCACTTTAAATGTCCTCATACCTAAACCACAAACAGGCCCTGCAACTTGTTCCCCAATTTTACTATCAGGTCACATCAAGGAGTTAGACTGATAAGTCTAACTCATGTCTTAAAGGTAGAAAAATGGTTGTTTAATCTCTTAAAAATGATACTTTTTTAATCATACTTAACGTCATAAAACAAATTTTATATAACAAGGTTATGAAACCAGCAAATTAGTATAGATTTGGTACATTAAAAAAAATAATAATAAATAAATAAAATAAAAACACCAAAAATAATATAAGGATTAACCAAACAGAATATATTCAAAATTGAAAGCAGGTCTGCTTGAAAAGAAAGGCTTGTCTATTCTTGTCAATCATCTACTTCACTGCTTTTATATTTAACCACATTAATTAAACACAAGGCTACCACCATTTCCATAGCAGCATATTGACAAGTATCCATGTTAAACATGTCCATGCATACAGCAATATAAATAATAGATAGATTCACACATATGGACCCATTTCACACTTTTTGTGTTAGAACTAAAACAGACCACATATTGACTCTGCTACTCTTATCAAGCCAGCTAGCCCAGTAATATTCCATTGCCTTACTCTTTATACGGGTCATAGCGGGGAGTTATTCACTTAATATTCACAGATATTTCTCTCACTAGCTTTACACTGTCTGTGCATATTTTTGTACTGTCCAGCGAGACATTTTGCACAAAAAAAGACCCTGCTGAATTTAAGTTGGACCCCTACCAAGACTATCTAATACCATGTAAAAGTACCTTTGTGAAAAGAGGTTGAGCCAAGCTTTGAAATACTTCAAAACTGACCCATATCCCAATATCTCACAGCAAAGATACTGTTACTCATTCTATATTCACAGACTACATTTTATCCCTAATGAAAATGACTAAAATACCTGGTAAAATGACATTTTAATGGCATGAAAAAGGATGAAATTGCCAATTAAAAATACTTGATTTTCTCAACTACAGTGAATGAACTGTCCATTTCACTGCCTGATACTAAGTCAGACCAATGTTAACAAGCGACACATGCGCAACTCCCTAAATTAGTGGTGCAAGAACAAGTAAGTCACCAAAAAATATTATATTTTTTCTCGTCATAAAATAACAAGGGTTCCTAATACATATACACTGAAAATAAGTACTTTATGATGAAAACACTTTACAGCTATTCTACTTTCTAAGTGCATCTGCATGACACTTTTCAGTTTACTTACTGAATATAACAACCTTCACATCTGTCACCATCCTCTTTTTATGTAACAAACTTGTATCAACAACAACAAAAATTCACATAATGATAGTACTCTCACCATAATACCATTATGAAGTATAGGTATGTATATGCTTATACTCTCTATTATCTGAAATGCCCATGTGGTTTGTGCCTGAGCATACACTATTACCATCTATATATCTAATCTTTTTTAAAATATTTATTCACCCAGCTCAAGTAAGATTCAGACAAATTCAATAAAGGGTTCAAAACAATGGCAAAAATATATACTATATACTCCCCTTTCTTTACCTGAGCAAATTTTTGGCGAGTTATTTTCTGGGGTACTAGAAAATTTAAAGCAAAGTCCACTAAGCCCTCTCTATAAAATTTAACCAGGTATCCAAGCTTCATTACACTGTATCCTTCTGACCAAAATCAAATAGTTAAACTGTTACTTCATCCATGGAAAATTCAAATTCCAATTCAATATTTAACTCAAAACAATGACAAAAATATATTCCTCTCTGTTTTTCCTTACGTAATAAATTTTTGGTTTAAGAGACTTTGTAGTGAAGTCTACTCTCAATATTACTTCCTTCCGACCTAACTATAATAGTATTATTCCTTCGTCCATGGAATTTCTTGGCCATCTACTATGAGACTGTGGATTATTCCCTCTCTTTTCTTCCCACTGCTCACTGCCTTCACGTAACAACTGTGCTCCCCAATGGCAAAGTGTGTCTCTGTTCCATCATCTGTAAATTCCCCCTATGAAATAAAATATTTACTATCATTGTTCTTATTTTATTCTATTTTGGTTTCTTCTACATCCATCAATGTACACACTGCATCCTTTCACCAAGACAGAATCTCAGTTTTTTCAGCATTTGAATTTTAATTTGGAAAAACTTTATAGTAGTTTGAAAAAATAATATGTATCGCACTTACGTGACAATACATAGATACGTATACATCATGGGTTGCATAATAAGGAGCTCTATTTTATATCAATATTTTCATGTTTTGAAGACGTAATATCACCCTCTACCTATGAAGTGTTTAACTCAGAAATAATATCAGAAAAAAGAAAAAAAATTAAAATAACCATGTGCTTCATATACCCCCCCCCCCTTGCTATAGAATGTTATGAAAGGAAAAGCAAACTGTACTCACAGTGGTGTCCAGTTTCTGCCCATTCACCCATATATCTAAAGTGTCCTTTTCTGAAAAAAAAAAATTACATAGTGAACAAACCATTTTTTTTAAATTTTTAGTCAGAGACATATATCAGTACAATAAAATATTCTGAGCAAAATAACACAAAAATACTATACACTTGGAAAAAATACTACCCCAATATTTTCCATCTCAATTTTGATATAATGATTAAAATATTTCCAACCTTCATATCAAAACTGAGATAGTAAAATAGGTCCTTTTTTACAAACCACTCTGTACATGTAATAAGTATAAAACCTGTCATGGCTTTTTAATATTCTACTCAGTATTTGCCTCTAAGGAAAATTAGTTGCTGGACCAAAAGGTCCAGCCATCTTGAAAAGAAGCCGGACCCAATGTCTGTCAGGTGGGAAAACTTCTCGGACCGTTCTGAAAGTTGTCTACCCTGGGCAGACGGTCCAGTGTTAATTTCGAACACCGATTCTACTAACCTAAAACAATCCTAGTTGGGACATCATCCAAAGTCATCACCCAACAGTTCATGATTTTACTCTGATTTTCTGAGAACTTTTGTAGGCTTTTTCCGTTGACTTCGATGGTGTATTCATACATGAAACCACTGACAGCATCAATGTTTATTTTACACTTGGTCTTGCCAATTTGAAAAGTTTCTGATCCCACAAGTTTGAACATCCAGTCGGTCCTTTTTACTTCCTATAAAAAGAAAAATTCATCAATATCATGATGGATAACAATGAATATATTGGTAGGTGAATATAAGTTTTCTGAGTTTAGGATATTAACATTCTGAGTTTTCTCCTCTTCATCACTTTTTGACTGACAATTAGAAAAAAAAAATACACTTTCAATTCTCAACTTCCCAGTATTTACAGCAAGGCTTCAAAATCAAGAATAATGTTTTATATGTTGCATTTTTACCAGTGTTGAGTTATGTTGTGGGGGCCCTGGTTTCACAAAAAATTTAAGTCATGCTCCCTGGCTTAGAACTAGATTACCAACATCACATGGTCACAGGTGCGCATCTTACCCTATGGTAATCCTATTTATGTACCCCAAGAAACTGACTATATTTTATTTATTTATTTATTATTTATTTTAATTGAAACTGGTGCATGGCATATCCTACCTTTCCATCTAGCCATATGACCCTCTTCCCTGTTGTCGTACCGTGTTCAAATTCTACCTTGTGAACTCCATCACTCAATGCCACCTCCCAAACAGCAACAAGATCTGACATCCTGGGGCAGGCTGAAGACTTCAAAAGCATTTAAATTATTTTACGAAGCATATTCATTTTTAATGAAATTTTGTGGATGAACTAGAAATGGCAACCAATTTCATTAAACACTACACATGCCTGACGTCTTTTTTTCCGAAGTCATTGCGACCGAAAAATGACTTTAAAATAACTAGATCAGGCCAAGCTTCCTCAATACATTTAAAGCTTGAGCCTCTTCGCAATGAACTGCGAAAGCGAACATCAAATGAGTAATAAATTTTCAATGAAATTTTGTGCAATGTAAAGAGGTCCTTTCCCTCTGGCTCAGCTGTCTGAATTTTCTGTCTTTAAGTAACGGTAAACTTTACCTTTAACTACAGATAGTTACCCACCTGTTCAGCAGTGTGTTTCTATTATTCACCGGCCAAGATAATCAATTTTTTTGCTCTTCCAACAAATAATGATTTTGGCCTATATATTCTTATCGACCGTGCAAATAATATACAACATCCGGGAAATCTATACAAATGAAAATTACTCCACACCGATGCTGCGAGAGCAATGTGAAGGTCGGAAGTGGCTCTAATGCCTTCTGATAAAATATGCCTTGGAGACAAATTTTGAGGCAAGTTGACAAAAAACATTTGCTTAAAATCTTAAGAACATTGGCTGTTTAATCGTCTGTATATAATACCCGCCAGTGTTTTAATGAAACCGTTAAGAAACTAAGGAGAATGCCATGTTGTTGCCGAGATGTAAAAAGTGTCTTGGCCTTAGAAACATGTACCCTGTAGTTATCATTACACATTGCGTAAGATGAAAATGCATTTCCACTAAAATATTGTTAAAATTTTTGTGCTGTGTTTCGCTATCTATGCCCGGTTAGTTTTATATATCAATTTTCTTTTAATATAAAGGCAGCTACTGAATAACCCACATCTGGAACAGAAGGTGAGATATGGCTAAACCCGAACGATATTGATTTTTTTTAAAGATAAGTTGGTTGTCTTAACAAATTAAATCAAATATTGGTCAGAAATCAGTTTGGGTTTGTCTTATACTGAAACTAACTTGTCAGTTAAATTAATTTAATATTACATTTGAGATGCGTCACAACAATCAAACCAAGCACATTTTAAGATACTGGAAATCACTTCATTGCAATTTATCTTTGTGTTGTATTTCCAGTTGGCAGATTCATACATTATCAGGCGGGCAGCACAAATCACAGCATATTTCATGCATAGAGGGAAACAACTTAGTAAGTAAATCATGTTTTACTATATCGCTAACAATATATTAAAAACTTGTAACATATCTTAGTAGACCTACCCCAGTTCTCTTCTGTATCAGTGCCTGAATATTTAAGCAGTATAAAACCCAAAATATAAGCATGATAAAACAGAAAAATTATCATAAACTGTTCTGGTTATTGGTGTTCATTACGTATGAAGCCTTCAGCTTGTCTTTTACACTGTCTGTCGCACATGAATTTTAATGCTGTGAAGTACTGTAAATGATTCGTTATTTCTTTTTCGTGAATTTTAAGAAAAAAACCAACAAAATGAAAAAAAAAAACTACATCCTCAAACATACAGTTTATAATTAATTTCATTTGCAGTTTAGTCTTGAAAGTAATAGTAGTACACTGTAGGAAGCAGTTGAGTGTTGGGTATCCAGTTTGACATCACATTTGCTTTAACCTGTACATCTCATTTAAATCTTCTACACCATTATGCTTTAGATTAAAGTGTTTTTTTGTAGTGTGTTTTACATGTCATTCAAGTGTAAATGTATAAGACAATATCTTAAAGGCGCACAATAAGTATTCAAAGGTCAAACATGCAATTTTATGCCTTAAAAACCACATACTGCAAAAATAAGATTTATGCATTGAAAAGAGGATTATATGTTAAAAATGGATTGTTTTTTTTCTCTAGCTCAGGACAAGGTAGAAGAACTGGCAAAAACCACCTCCAAGACAGGATCTAAACTTGACTCCTTTAAGACCACATTTGCCAAGGAACTTAAAAGGGAATGGGACAAAGAAAAGAAAAAGCTAAAATGACAGCACTAGACTTGGACCGCTTGAATTATTTACACATTATTCAGTATTTATACAACACTTGTAAAATGATATTGAGCTTGTGATATCCATCTTTAATATAGATTTTATAAATATATCAGCCTGACGGCATTGGGTCTGTATTTAAGTAATGGCAACTGTAAGATTTGGCTGGCTTGTAAAGAAAGGAATCCAATACAGCAGTAGGGGAGGAAATAACCATAACAATACTTACACATTTTATCCTCATCACTGGTTTACATGACTGATTGAATGATGACAGAGACAATATCCAATTACCAAGCTGATGAACATTTTTGCTCATTTATGTCAGAGCCTGTAGTTTTGAATTTTGTGCTGGTGCTGATGAAATGAAGCAGTTTCCCTTGGAAAGGAAAGGAAAGGAAAGGAAAGGGGTGGAGAGGTTTGCTTTTTACCGAAATGCACCTGATCAGGGGTCTGTACCCTGGGGTTCATATGCTAGTAAAAGCAACAGAGATGATGAATGCACAGAGGGGTGTTTTCAGTGGCCTTTTGGGTGGGTGGGTGGGGGTGGGGTCTGGCTCACTGCAATTTTTATTTTACTTTTAAACTACAGAAAACTTAGATTGTTAAAATTGTGTCATCTGTTGGGAGATAGGATCCATGACAAAATTTGGCAGTTTTACATGTAGTCCAGATAACATCGGCATAAACCCACTTTGGAATCCACGAAATAATATAATACTTGAATTATATGATACTAGAAGTTTATTTATTTAAAATTTTTTTGACATTTTTGTACCAGTTATATGTCATTAATCTACTGCAATAAATTGTTCTTTCATGAAAGTGTTTTTGGTTTTGTTGGAGTCTTTCCATTTTCGGAACGGAACGTCACATTAGCAAGGTATTAGATAAGATATCTTATTTCTTGGTACTAGCGACTGACATTATAATGACAGACGCGTTCATATGGAAAAATCTCTCAGAATATTCAAAGTCACCGCCATGCGCAGAATATTTAACAAAATGCGCTACTAGAATTACGATCTTTGACACCCGAGATCTAGGATGAAAATTAGCCCCTTTTTTCAGGAATTCTCGCTCTTTTCTAGTTTTGTATAACGATACGTCGTTCACTGTCGTCAGCAACTCGCAAGTCCGTAATGAGGCGTAAAGTCGACAGATCTGAGTAGATGTTGTATTTTTCTTGCGGGTTTGATTTACCTGTCGTGAACCCGGCTGTTCCGTCAAGACGCGTTTCGTTGGCTGACGTCGGCGGTGGGGAACTGGTGTGACAGGAATGAAGGAACTGTAGTCTGCTTATTTGTACAGGTGACATACGTTCCATATACTAACCCCAATACTCCAACTAACCCTAACCTGTACTTCTCATAGGGGAGTCCGGACTTCCGTTCCTATGACAACCATTTCTATCACACCTAGACGCCTGTCTACAGCATTGGTGATAGGCCACGGTGAAGACTGTAGGCTAGAATGATACTAGGACATCTCCATAGGTTTAGAGGATGTGAAGACGGAATCTCTGAACGTTTCTTGTTCTACAGCTTGTGGTGAGGGTGGAGAGTTGGGGCCTTGCGGCGTGACTGACACGCCTAACTCAGACGAGAGTGGAGAAACAAGATGCTCAGACGTTTGTTCTGAAAACGGCGTGGCTGAAACATCGTACGACTGACTAGTATTTTCTCCATTCACTGCAGCAGTCTCTCTTTTACTGATATAAGCTTCTGAAAAAAAAACCACTTTTTAAAATTATTCTTGATTTTTTGTATGTGCTCCACATTAAATATGGAAGATGTAAATAATTACAGCGGGCTACAATTTTAATAATACTCGGTTAATACATGTATGAGCTAGAAACACTATTATTAAAAGCGCCGCCATGGTTTCATAATATCACAGAATATAGGCCTATCATATGAATAAAAAAATCTTCGCTGATTGCTTTATATTTTATTTGACAATACCCGTTTGCTCCTACAACAATAATAAAAAACGTTGGAACATTTCGAGCAGAGAACCAAAAGGCACCGAACCTGGGGTAACATGAGATCTTGACGACACCCGTTTATCCAGGGCACATTTTGCAGCTTGCACCATGGCACTTAGTACCAAGAAGCCAAAGATACCAGCGACCACGATTGCTGCTATTGCGATAGGTGGGAATTCTTCTGGAGTGGGCGTGGTCGTTGGTTCGGTGGTGTCTGCAATGGAGGCACATTATTTATCAATGCAGATGGATTAATGTATAGAATTGCAAACTGTTGTCTTGCAGTGTGTTACTCATTAATAGCATGTACAAGATATATAGCGTACATATACTAAATGAAAAAAGGGTGAGGGGCAACATAGCTAGTATCCTCCCCTTTCCGTATTTGATTTAATCATCATCAGGTCTCGAAGAATAGATGGAATATTTGATGCTTAGTGCACCGTTGAAGTCTATGTTGTAAGTGGGTGCTGAAAGGTATGGGTGTTTTGGGAAGGGATTGATAAATGAGAATTCTTTCTTGAACATGTTTTAGAAACTACACTAGATACACCATTTGCTAATCAAGGGCGAGTTATTATTTTGCTAACTTTATGTCTTAAAAAGAACAAAAATTTTGGCCCACACTAATACATAATATGTAAAAAAAAGACCTGTTTCAAAACGAAAATCCAAACTTAATCATTAAAAATCATCAGCAATTCATTAAGGCCTATATTCATGCATGTGTGCAAACAGACAAGATTTGATAACATTAGTCGCCCCTACAGTTTTATATCATGCCATGGCTATCCAGTAAGTCGCCCCCCCTCCCCTCAATCCATTGACTTTGGAAGACTCCCCCTAAC